CCCGTGCGTCGGCAGGCGGACTCTCAACCACTGTGCCACCAGGGAAGCCCAGAACATCTTTTTTAAAATATATTTTATTGAAGCATAGTTGATTTCTGCTGTACAACAAATGACTCAGTTATACATATGTATATTCTTTTTCATCCTTTTCCATATGGTTTATCACAAGATATTGAATATAGTTCCCTGTGCTCTACAGCAGGACCTTGTTGTTTATCCATCCTGTAGATACTAGTTTGCATCCATCCCTCCCCCACCCCCTCCCCCTTGGCAACCACAAGTCTGTTCTCTATGTCTGTGAGTCTGTTTCTGTTTTGTAAATAGTTCACTTGTGTCATGTTTTAGATTCCACATATAAGTGATATCATATGGTATTTGTCTTTCTCTTTCTGACTTACTTCATTTAGTATGATAATCTGTAGGTCCATCCATGTTGCTGCAAATGACATTATCTCATTCTTTTTACGACTGAGTAATGTTCCATTGTATACATGTACCACATCTTCCTTCTCCGTTCATCTGTCGATGAACATTAGGCTGTTTCCATGTCTTGGCTATTGTGAATAGTGTTGCTGTGAACATTGGGGTGCATGTATCTTTTTGAACTATGGTTTTGTTTGGATATATGCCTAGGAGTGGGATCACTGGATCACATGGCAACTCTTATTAGTTCTTTGAGGAACCTTCATACTGTTTTCCACAGTGGCTGCACCAATTTACATTCTGGGGACAGAGCATCCTGGTGTTAGTAAATAACTATTTTAAAGTCACAACACTTTGGAAAGCTATGCTAAGGGGAAAAAAGTCTTCAAATGAAAGGTGGATTTTGCTCCATATGTTGAATGAATGGTTTGGGGACAGACCTTTCGTTGCGTGTACTTATTAAGCAGGGATAATAATGCATAAAAGTCCTTGCTCTCCAGGTGCTCCCTGTCACCAGGGGTGACAGGTGAGAACACAGAAGTCTACCTGTGCAGTGGGTGAGTGATGAGCACAGGCGGGCTACTGTAGGCCACTCCCAGGGAAGGGGGCCCCAGCACTGCCCCAAGGGCTCACACTCAGAGACCCGGTGGACATGTAGGGAGGTGGGGAAGAGGAAGGATTCCAAGCAGAGAGGTCAGTGGAGAAGGGAGGTCAGCAGGGAGAGGTGTGGGTCAGGCCGGGGGGTTAGCAGGAGGCCAGGAAGGTTGCGGGGGAGGAGCTGGTGTGACCGTTAGCATGCCAGCTACCTCGCTGGACACCCACGGGGTGACCCTGGTTGTCAGAGACCCTTCCATGCCACACATAGTCCAGAGGATTTGAATAGGACCCTGAGAGTCTATCTTCCCACCCAAAGCCTCTGGGGAATCTGCAAAGGTCTGCAGCAAATTCCTTGCAACTCTTTGCTTTTTCTGGAAAACGCCATCTTCTAGAAGAGGTGTTTGCTGAGCCTTCCCCACTGAGGGTGACAGGAAGCACAGGGCTGGCTGTCTCTGGCTGGTTGGCTGAGCCCAGGGTTCACACTGGTCCAGGCTGAGCCGTGGATAAAGACCTTGTCCTCCATGTAAAACTTCTGGGCTTCTGTTTCAGGTGCGTTCTTCACAAAGGTGGTGGATTTGGGGGCTGCGTCTCTGAAGTTTGAGATCTGGGACACAGCTGGCCAGGAAAAGTACCACAGCGTCTGCCACCTCTACTTCAGGGGTGCCAATGCTGCGCTTTTGGTGTATGATGTCACCAGGAAGGTGAGGCTCACCTGGGTGTGTCCCCGCCCTTCCAGGCACATGGACACAACCTTCTGGCGGCATTACGTGACTGACCTGTGCTGGTGCTTTATGTTAAAATCGTGAGCACCGGTGGAGAATCCTTCAGTGAAAGTCAGTCACCTCCTCCAGGAAGCCCTCCCTGACAACCCCTCTGCCTGCTGCACAGTTAGGTTTGCACCCCTCCATGGTCCTCTTGGGGTACCCAGAACAGTGCACCCCTATCCATCACTCACGATTCCTTGGGTGCCCACTGAGCTGGTGAGGGGGGTGTTATGAAAACAGGATACAGCCCCTGGCTGCATATCTACTCTACAGAATATCATCGGGCCAAACAGAAGTGAGCAGATGCTTAGTGCACCAGCAGGGAAGGGTGGGGTTCTATGGGAGTTGACAGGAGGGGCATCATACTTCCTGCAGGAAGGCTCTAGCTGAAACGTTGGGAGAAACAGGATTAGCCCTGTTGGGCAGGGCCAGGCAGGGAGGTGGCGGTGGGCATGTGAGCGGCAGGGGGGAAGGGAGTTCTGGTCAGAGGGCAGTGCTGGTGGAATTAAGGAGGTCGAGTGCCGTGCATGGAGCCCCTGCAGTGCTGAGAGCAGGCCTACTGGGTCAGCATGGCTGCTGTGGAGAGGGGCTGCGTGGGACCCAGGGCAGAGGCCCCGTTCCTGGGTCTGTGGGGTGCTGCAGTTAGTATCAGGGTTTGGGGTGACAGCCACTTCCCCACAAAGTGGTCCTTGAGGGCATCGTGGAGCAGAGGCCTCTAGAGCTCCAGGTCTGACTCGGAACCTCCTGCAGCCCCCAGCCTCCTGCTGGCCGGGTGAGGACAGAGCTGCCTTCGGCCCAGACCACCCGAGGCCAGAGAAAGACCAGCTACCCCTGCTCAAGGGGCAGAACAGCCCTTGGGGCCCGACATAAGGCCAGTTGGATCATGTGCCGTTTTATGTTAAAATCGTGACAACCAGTAGATTCCTTCAGTGAAAGTTTGTCACCTCCTCCAGGAAGCCCTCCCTGACAGCCCCTCTTCCTGCTGCATGGTTGGGTTTGCACCCCTCCGTGGTCCTCCCGGAGTACCCAGAACAGAGCACCCCCATCCATCCCTCACGATTCCTTGGGTGGGTCACTTGGATCCTGTGTTTTACGCAGGGTAGCCACCGACACTTGCCTTGTCTTTCCTGGGATGGCTGAGGAAGACCGCCGGGTTTGCCTGACAGTCCTGTTTTCCTTTCTCAGGATTCCTTCTGCAAGGCTCGGCAGTGGCTGAAGGACCTGGAGGAGGAGTTCCACCCGGGAGAAGTCGTGGTGATGCTGGTCGGCAACAAGACGGACCTCAACCAGGAGCGGGAGGTGACCTTTGAGGTGGGCCTGGAGACGGTCATTATGTCCCCGGTGAGGGAGGGGGGAGGGACCCCAAACACACACGCCCACCTACCCACACACTCATACACATACACACCCCACACGCACGCACACACACACATACCACTTTAGCTTCCCTCCTGGGCAAAGGTTTCTGGTCTCTCCTGGGAAGGTCAGACCCAGAGGTGGCTGCTCCTGGCTGCGGGGAGAGCTGCGAGCATGACCGCAGCTTCCTGAGGGCTGGCAGGGGCAGGCGCAGTGCAGGGAATGGTTTCCATGAGGAAACCACGACGCTTCCCACCCTCTCTCCTTCTTTGAGTAATGCGGGTTTCAGATCTTTCTCTTTATGTTCAATAAACTGTTCAAGAAGGGGCAAATCCAAATTTTTTGCTAGAAAATGAGCAAGGGAGAGAGAACCTGAAAGCTGCAGCTCTTCTGTAAAATGACCAACAGCAGAGTAAATGCTCTAGGCAGTTGCTTGTAAAGTGGTGAGAGCCTGAAGCAGGGAGCAAGGGGTTCGCGCGTGTGTGTACAGGGCGCGTGTGTGTGTACAGGACGTGTGTGTGTGTACAGGGCGTGTGTGTGTACAGGACGCGTGTGTGTACAGGACGCGTGTGTGTGTGCAGGATGTGTGTGTGTGTACAGGACGCGCGTGTGTACAGGACACGTGTGTGTGTGTACAGGACGTGTGTGTGTACAGGACGCGTGTGTGTACAGGACGTGTGTGTGTACAGGACGCGTGTGTGTACAAGGCACGTGTGTGTGTGTACAGGACGTGTGTGTGTACAGGATGCGTGTGTGTGTACAGGACGCGTGTGTACAGTGGTGTCTGTGTGTGTGTATGTGGGGGTGGGTTTTAGGAGAGGCTCTGGGAGGAGGGGCAGATGAGGGGAGGGCAGGAAGGGGAGGGAGTCTGGGGGCAGGGCCGGCCAGCGGAGGCCGTGCTGAGCAGGCGCTGGGGCTCAGAGGCAGAGATCCCAGTGCTGGTGTCGGGATTGGGGGCTTTATTCCGGGGCAGCCTTGAGTCCCTGGGGTGGGGACCTGATGGGTGATTTAGGAAAAGCGTGTGGGGCCCAGGTCAGGCCGAGTTGCGAGACGGGGCCTGGGTGGGGAGACCCATTGGAGGCTAGGGGTCCAGCTCAGGGGCGGGAGGGGCTTCCTTTCCGCTCTCCCAGGACCCCTGCCCGCGGGAGGGGGACCCCGTGGCTTAGACTGCACGGAAGCGGCCACCCTGGGGCCTGGGCTGTAGACCCTGGGCCCCCACACCCCACCCTGACTTCTTGTTCCCTCTGAGCTCCCACTGAGCTGGGACTTGGGGGCCAGGGTGGGGGCGGGGGGCAGACCCTGGAGCCGCAGGTGCCTCGGCTGGGGCAGAGGCCAAGCTGACCTGTGGCCAGTGCAGCTTTTACATTGATTTTGGGGCTTTTCATCTTAAAATAATTTCAGAATTACAAAAATTGCTGCAAAAATAGTACAAAAAGTTCCTGTCTGCCCCTCTCCCAGCTTTCCCAAATGTTAACATCTTATGTAAGCACGGAACAACGAGCAAATAGGAAACGAACGTTCAAACTACTTTATAGCTCTTGTTCAGATTTTATCATTTTTCCCACTAATGCCCTTCTCTTGGTTGGCGGAAATCTGCTCCTAGATTTGGCCGTTGAGAGCTCTCCCCTCCGCTGGCCCTGTCACCCCGCCCTGTTATTCTTTGAGCGCTTCCTTCCTTTTTGGCTCACCAAGTTGTTCCAGGTTCACCTTTGCCCTTTCTCGGCCCCAGCCCTGGAATCAATAATTTCCCTAAAGAGCCCTGGTTCCTAGTGTCGGGGAATGAGTTTAGGAGTCAAGGTATTTGCACTGGATGTGCTCATTCCACGGGGGGTGAGGTAACCGTGGCTCCCATCCTGGGGAACCTCCAGGACAAACTGGCAGACGGAGGGCTGGGGACCTGCAATTTAGGGACCAGAGGCTCATTGGACCCAAGGACAAACCCCTAAAATGACCCCATCTGGAACCCCCAAGCTAGTTGGGCAAAGGGGGATACTTGAGTTTCATTCATGTGACCCAGATATGACCTACTTGAAGTCACCGAGTCTTCAGCTGTACCAGGTCACCTTGCCCTTTAAAATACAAGTAATAATGTCCCCATCCCTCTGTGCCTGGGAAAGGGCTGAGAAGCTCGTTGGGGGGTGATGAAGAGCAAAGCTCTGTGGGCCAGGCTGGGGGCTGGGGGAGTAGACACCGCTGGGTGCCATGCTGTGGGCACAGCCGGCCCAGCCCCCAGGGGCCGGCTCAGCATCAGGCACTGAGCACTGCGCCTCCTGGGAGGGTCCGGAGGCGAGGGGCCTGCATGGGGCGGCCCCCAGCTCCTCCTTCACCACGGCCTTCCCATGAACGCTTCTCTGCTTCTCGACCGCATGAGCAGCCCTGGTGTTTCCCAGACGCCCTTGCTCCGTACACCCTTCACTCCACGTAGGCTGAACCCCTGTGGGACGGTGGTGGGGGACCCAGAGAAGGGCCAGGCTCCCACCAGGCTGTCCCCACTCCCCTTCCATGTTTCCTCTGTTCTCACTTGGTTTCGGAGCCCACCAGTGCCAGAGAGCCGTGGTAGGGGCGGGAACCTCGCCAAGGAAAGCATCCTTGGACCCCGCTGGGGGTGCCGGGCTCCCCTGCCAGCGAGTACCCTCCGTCCCTGACCCTCCCTGCTCCCTGGTCTGGGCCCCCTTTTCTAGGAGCCCCAGAAACAGAACTTGAGGAATGAGTTCTCTGCTGGTGCAATCGTTTCTCGGTGTTTCTTGGGTCTTCCTGTCAGAAGACGTCTAAGTGTTCTTGAGAAATTTCTGATGATTAATGTGGGCTTTCCATGGCCATTTCCGTCAGGAAGGGAGGGAGTTTGCAGAGAGCAAGGGGTTGCTGTTCATGGAAACTTCGGCCAAACTGAACCACCAGGTGACTGAAGTCTTCAGTGCTGTCGGTGAGTGACCAGCCTCCGACCCCAAGCAGGGGGTGGGGGGACCATCACTGGGTCTTCCACAGGTCTTCATCTCTGGCAACCTGGGACCCAGCAGAACGTCCCCAGGGCCTGGAAGGTGGGCAGGAGTCAAGGGCCCATGTTTCCTGCTTCCTGGAAGACATCAGGGAGGGTGGGACCTTGGGGGATGCCACGTGTGCAAGGCGAGTGCTGGGCTGGGTTGGGGGATTTTCCTCCCAACCAGCCCATGTCCTTTTCCTGTCGTCCACAGCCCGAGAGCTTTTGCAGAGACAAGAGAAGGAGGGCCAGAGGCAGCAGGGAGATGCACAGCTGGCTCTGAATGAGACGCCCCCGGGGCGGGGCAGATGCTGCGCCCGCTAGAAGGGGCCACTCCAGGAAAGGCCGTGGGGAGGATGCGCCCAGCCCACAACCCACTGGTCCTCAGGGTGAGCCACCACCAGCTCCATGTTGCTTGAGGTACTTGTCCTGATTGACTGTCGATGCTGGCTTGCTCCTAAGTCCTAGAGGCTCTGCAAGAGCCTTAGAATAACCACCTCCCAAGCTGGTGGGAATCATTCAGGAGAGGGTCCCATGTCCAAGGCTCCCAGAGGGTGTCAACTCCACCTCTCAGACACCAGATACCGACTGAATCCCGGATGTCCTGGGGGGTGGGCACGCGTGACCCTGCCCTTAGCTGCCTGGCCACCGGACACTGGAGAATGAAATGGTCAGAGGGGAAATAAAGATCGGAAAATCATCCAGCACGCACTTGGTGTTGGGCAGGGGGCAGCCCGGGGGCTTGGGGCCCCCCTGCTCCTGGGAGGTGGGAGAGGAGACAGCAGGCCCAGCTGCAGGGGGCAGTGCCAGGGAGAGATGGCATGACCATCATGGGGCTGGGTCCGTCGTCACTGGATCTCTGTGAGGTTCCCCAGGAGGATGGTGTCTGACAGAGGGCAGCTGGGGATGGGGGTGGGGGAGTCAGGCCCCCTACTCTCTGCTCCTCGCTGTGAATGCGAAGTGGTGCTTGTGCAACGCGCGCCGGGACTCAGACTTCGAGCTGAGGTGCAACTTGTACCGCGTATGAGTTTTTCTCCGAAAAGTAAACCGAATTCTATCATGTGGTCCTTTTTATTTTTCCAAATGTTTTTTAATTGTGGTAAAAGTCACATAATATAAAACATACTATTTTAACCACATTTAACCGTACAGTTCGGGGGCACTAAGTACATGCACATTGTTGTGCAGTTCTCACCATCATCCATCTTCTGAAGTTTTCACTTTCTTAAACGGAAACTCTGTCCCCATTACACCCTGAGTCCCCATTCCTCCTCCCCGCCTCCCCTCCTCCGACCCTGGAATCTATCAATGTACTTTCTGACTCCATGAATTTGGCTATTCTGCGTACCTCGTGTAAGTGCAATCAAACAGTATTTGTCTGCACCTACTGTCTATTGGAATGCATTTTTAGGGTTAACTTTATATCACGTGGTCTTTGGTGAGTTTGTAAGCTGGGGGTCTGTTCCCGCACATCCTCTAGGAGGGCTCATGGTGAGTAAATACTGAGAGGCCCCAGGCGGCCGGCTGTGGCTGAGGTGGGCACAGGACATCTTTCTGGTGGTGACACATCCTGTGCTCACCTCGTTCCTGCCTTTAGAGAGGCCCGATGGCCCTTCTGTATGAAATTTTAAATAAGACGACATTGTCATCCCCCTGAAAAAGGTGGCTTCACTATATCAACTGTAATTTCTATATCAGCAGAAGGACAAACGTAAAGCATCCTTCCCCATTGACTCTGAGCTCCTGGACGTCCCAAAGGCACTCACGCGGTTTTTTTCCTAGACAATTTCCAGGTGAAACCTGACAACTTGGTGCTGTGTGCCCTGCAGTTTCTGACTGCAGTGAATTTTTGTATGCGACTGTTCCCTCGTAGGTGAAGCACGTGAGGTGTGAGCCCCTCTGTGTAAGGCTGAGTCCTCATGCTGTCTGTTCCCCCACGCTGGGGTAGCAGGGCTGGGATCCCTTCTGCAAAGCGCGGGACCCACTTCGGAGGTGGCGGGAGGCTGAGGTGGCCCCTGGCCACTAGATGGCGCGCCAGCATCGCTGAAGGCAAACCCCGCCGCCCCTGGTCTTTGCGTCCTGAGTGCTGCTTTGCTGACAGTAAGGCTTTCAGAGGAGCATCTGACCCATCCATGATGAAATAGGAAGGGGGAAATAATATTTGTAGGATGCTCACATTTCTGATTGTTTTTCTCCCGTCTTGCCAGACTAGTAACACTGTGCTAGAATTTATTATTAAAACATATTCTTTGACTCATTGCCACCTGGCATCCGTTCACGCTTCCCTCCCTTCCCCCAAGATGGGATGGGGTGCGTTGTGATCCTCGAGCTGGGCTCCCCATTGCCGGTTGTGATAGCCCCTTTTCCTCCCCTTCTCCCCCACGAGGCAGGTGGGGCTCATTCCTGCAATGGGATCACCTGGGAGCCTTTGCAGGCAGCATCCCTGTGCCCACCAGAAGCTCTGGTTAAATCCGTCTGCAGTGCGGCTTGAGCCCTGGGAGTTTTGAGCCCTCCTGGTGACCTAATATTCAGATAAGGGGGAGCTCTGCCATGAGGGCAGGGGTTCTGTCTGTCCTTCCTCTCGTGGGGCTCCCGGTGCCTGGTACGATGTCTGGTACATGCCAGGCACTCAACAAATATGTGTCCAAGAGAGGATAGGAGCTGATATTCCCAGTGATGTAAAGAAAAGCCATGTTATTCTACAAACAGCCTCCACCCCAGCCACCGCGGACGTTTATGGAAGCCTCTCTCTGCGTCAATGCGTCTCCCACCTGATCTCAGCCCGTCCTGGACCGTGAGGTGGTGGTAGGGGGGTGGGCGTAGAGCCCGGGGGGCGATGAGCCCGTGGAGTTGCAGGTGCTCAGGGGAGGCTGGTGGGTGAGCTCGCCGTCCTTCCCGCATCCAGGGAAGCTGCTCCAGCCCTTCTCATGAGCCGGGGTGTGTGTGCGCACGCGCATGTGTGCGCACGTGAGCACGCGTGTGTGTGTGTGCGCGCGTGCGTGTGCGCGTGTGCGAGTGTGCGTGCTCGTGATGGAGGCAGGAAGCACAGAGAGGACGAGAAGCAGCATCTGGGCGCAGCCCTGCTGTCCTGCCTGTAGCCGTGACCCTTCCCATCCCCCTCTGCTTCTAACGCCTCCTCCAACTTCCCTAGAAGAGCCCCCTGTGCCCAGAGGGCTGACTCAGGAATCCATTCTTTTTCTTTTTCTTTTTTTTTGGTACCTTTTTTTTTTTTCGGTACGCGGGCCTCTCACTGCTGTGGCCTCTCCCGTTGCGGAGCACAGGCTCCGGACGCGCAGGCTCAGCGGCCATGGCTCACGGGCCCAGCCGCTCCGCGGCATGTGGGATCCTCCCGGACCGGGGCACGAACCCGTGTCCCCTGCATCGGCAGGCGGACTCTCAACCACTGCGCCACCAGGGAAGCCCCTTTGGTACCGTTTTAAAAAATTTAATTAATTATTTTCGCCTGCGTTGGGTCTTCGTTGCTGCGTGCGGGCTTTCCCTAGTTGCGGCGAGCGGGGGCTACTCTTTGTTGCGGTGCGCGGGCTTATTACGGTGGCTTCTCTTGTTGCGGAGCACAGGTTCTGGGCGCGTGGGCTTCAGTAGTTGCGGCACGCGGGCTCAGTAGTTATGGCTCGCGGGCTCTAGAGCGCAGGGTCAGTAGTTGGGGCGCATAGGCTTAGTTGCTCCACGGCATGTGGGATCTTCCCGGACCAGGGCTCGAACCCGTGTCCCCTGCATCGGCAGGCGGATTCTTAACCACTGTGCTACCAGGGAAACCCCATTCTTTTTCTTTTAAAATGTATTCCCTTTTTGAAGGTCTCACTGGCCAAACTTAGGACAATTTGAGCATCAAGAATGATTTGTAAGTTGCTGAACAAAAAAGAAATAAAAAAGGGAGGAAAGGAGAAAAAAGGAGAAATATCTCCTTTAGAAGAATCCCGCTCATACATGTGGAAGGAATTAGAGAATCACCATTGTACAACCCATGATGTAACAGTTGATCCCAGCGAAGGTATTTAGGTAAGGTTTACATCATTGGCTGTGAGCTCTTTGGGAAACAGGCTAGGGCCGTGGGTCCCCAGGACCTCTGCGGATCGCATAGTGAGCAGACGGGGAACCCGAGAGATTTTTACAGTTGAGAGATCCTCTCCGTAAAGGGCCAGACTTGGCACCGGTCAGAGCGGGGCCCAGAGCCCACCATCAGGTACGATGCTGGAGGACAGACACAGAGCATTCATGCCCTCAGTGGTAACCGAGTCCAGTTCTGCCCCTAGACCCGCTGCTCAGATTACAGGAAATACAGTGCGGGGGGGGTGCGGGGGTGCGGGGGGGGCAGGAGAACAGGATAACAGCACTTGGGGGAGCAGTCCACAGTTCACACGTGTGGATCCGTTCTACAAGGTAACACATCCGGGCCTTTGTGAAAGTCAGTGTCGTGACAAAATGAGATGATCCGGGAGTGACGAGAAATAACTAAGGGTGACCTTGAAATTAGATTGGAGCCTAGCTTCCAAAAAAAAAAAAAAAGAAAAGACAACTAAGATTTTCTTGCCTTATTTGGGGATTTTTGAGTATGGACTAAAAGATCGATGCCATTAGGGAATTATTACAAAATGTTTTAGGCATGGTGATAATTTTGTGGTTATGTAGGAGATTGTCCTTAGTTTGAGGAGAAAGATGCTGAGATTCCTAGGGGAAATAGGATGTCTACAGCTTACTTCCAAGCGGTAGAGAGAGAGAAGGGGAGGTGGCGGGGAGAGAAAGTAAATACAGTGATAATTGCAGAATTTAATGCAAGGTATTAGATGTCATCATAATATTTTTGTGATTTCTTGTAAGTTTGAAAACTTTCATAATAAGAATTTGTAGAAAACATAACATCTTCCATCTCTCTACTTGTCTGGGCTCAGAAGATGTATTCGTTTCCTGCGGCTGCCCTGACAGGGTACCACAGGCTGGGTGGCTGGAATCCGGAGCCCCTCATCACACTGATGTTTTTCATGTCTGCGTCACGTGGGGCTGTGAACTCGTTTGTTTAAAGTGTACGATTGAGTGGCGTTTAGCACACTCACCACCTTGGGCCGGTTCCCAGACACTTGCATCCGCGTGAGGAGAGCCTGTACCCATGGAGCAGACCCCGCCCCTGGCAACCACCAAGCTACTTTCGTCTCTATGGATTTGCCTCTTCTGGACCTTTCGTATAAATGGAGTCATCCACTGTGGGACCTTTTGTGTCTGGCTTCTTTCACTTTGCGTCATGCTTTCAAGGTTCATCCATGTGGCAGCATTTGAAAGAACTCTTTCCTTTTCGTGGTCGAATAATAATCCATTGTGTGGATGGACCACGTTCTGTTATCCATTCGTCTATCGATGGGTATTGGGTTGTTCCTACCTTTTTGGCTGTTGTGAATTGTGCTGCTATGAACATTCCTGTACAAGTATTTATTTGAACACCGGTTCTCAGCTCTCTGGGGTATGTACCCACGAGTGGGAGGGGCCGTGTGCTAACTCCAGGTTTAACTTTTGAAGAACCGCCAAACTGCTTTCCTGGGCTCTCCACGCTGCCTGCCCTGGCCCAGCACCTGCCTGCCCTGGAAGCAGACCTGGCCGCTCTCCTGTTCCCCCATGCGCATCCACCTTGGGGAGGTGCCGACGCTGCGGGAGCTCTCCCCTGGGAGGGGACTGGCCTCTGGCCTCCCTCTGGCCTTCCTGTGGCTGGGAAGGGGGGCAGCCCTGGTGCAGCTCCATTTGGGTGGTCTGGGCCAGCTCAGCCTCCTCCAGCTGGCCAGTGAGTGTGACCCACCTTCCTTGATTTGGAGCAGGGATGGCTGGTGTCTGGGGTCCTGTGGGCTTGCTCTGCATCCCGAGCCCTCCTGAGTGTGGATGGACAGAAGGAGTCCCGTGGTCCGGGCAGGCTCCTGGGACCCGGCAGGCAGAGGCCTGACGGGCCCTGAGCTCTGGGCTCAGAAGCAACTGGTTAAACCTGCCCTGCCCCCCACCCCAGCGCTGGACTAGGGGGTGCGCCTTGGAGAAGGGGGTTTATGCTCACAGAGCATCCACACTTGCTGGCTGCACCAACCTGAGCTCAGGAGTGAGGGGGGTGGTTATTAGCCCCAGGTTCAGGCGTGGGAACCGGGGCTCCGAGAAGTTAGCGGCTGGGCTCAGTCGCCCAGTTAATGGCTGTGTGTTCCCCAATGCCAAAGTGAGTTCCCTTTGAGACAGGACACAGGGACGTCCCCATGCGATTTGAAAGGGACGCAAGCTGGGGTTGAAATACTTGAACCTAAGAGTACTGGAAACAAGCCACCTGTGCTTCTTTTTCTCCCCCGAGTACCAACAGGGAGGCGAGAAGGCCTGGGGCAGAGAGAGGGCAGGGCAGGCCGGGGGGCGGGGCTGCCCTCCACTGGGGCCTCCTGTGTGGTGGCCTCTGCAGTGCACAGCCTGAGCAGCCATTCAGGGTGGCTGGGGGAGGGTGGTAGGAGCTGCAGCGACCAAGGACATCCCAGCCTCCCTACTCCATGCAGGGCACCCTTGGACAAGTCCTAGAGCCTCTGGGCTCTAAGGGTCCTCTGGGCTAACGTCCCACGAGGGAAAGCACCTCCCACTTTGTCCCCACACAGACACTTGTAAACAAGGCCAGCTGCTTTTATTGGGACTGAAGGGGATGTAGCCTGTGGAGGAGGGGGCGGGGGGCCGGAGACAGGCTCCTGGGGCTATTTCTGGAGGAGCTGAGCTGTCGGCCACCCTGCGAGGGCTCAGCGCCTCCTGCCAGGGGGAAGCAGGCGGGTGGGCGCTGGACGCCAGGCTTTGGTCCATCCCTCAGGGCTGCTCCTCCGGCCAAAGCGGCCCACAGGCCGGATGCCACGGCCTGTGCGCCAGGCAGGATTGACGTCGGGGGCTGGGAAAGAGAGAGAACAGTGTGTGAATGCACGTGCCCTGTTGTGCGCAACCACGGTGGCAGGGCCCGGTGCATGTGATCAGCTCACTGCTGCCCAGTCGCCAGGCCATCCTGGGACCCGCCCGCGCAGGAGGGGTGCCCAAAGGGCCTGGCCAGGCCGTTTCTGGGGGGGTGTGGTGGCTTCAGGAAATGGGAATTCAAACTCACACCAGGACGAAGTCCCCCTTCCCTTCCTGTCCCCACAAGCCCGTTCTCATGGGCAAAGTGGCCTCAGCCCCAGGCTGCCCTGGTGGTGAGGAGTGAAGGCCTCCCCCGAACGTCGGGCAGGGCCCTTGGGAGAAGGTGTCAGGGATGCTGTGGGGAAAGGTCTGGTGGGCAGGAGGCCAAGCCCCCAGCCCTGGGGCACTTAGCGAGGATGGTGCCCCAGCTCAGGAGGCGGCCGGGCCCCCACCGTGACCCCGGGGCAGAGGGGTGGGAGGGCAGGCCAGGGGTCTGGGCACTCACTGCGGAGCTCCATGGAGTGCTGGTGGGCCAGGCCCAGCAGCAGCAGGCACAGGAGCCAGGCCCCCGGTGCGTTCATCCCTCTGGCTCCTTGAGAGGCCCGCTCGAGCTGGGGTCCCACACGGGAGGGCGCAGCCTGGGGCAGGGGTAAAGGTGAGAGCGCATGAGGGTGCATGCGCACAGAGCTGGGACCCTCAGATAACGCGAGCGCTGTGCATGTCAGAGTGGATGTGCCCACGTGCGTGAGCGTGTGTGTGAATGCACACGTGCATGGGTGTGCACCTGTGTACGACGGGGTGTACGTGTGTTTTCACGACCCTGTGTACGTGAAGGGGTGTGCATGGGGTTACACGTGTGTGCGGGCAGCTGTGCTCTGCTGTGCGTTTCTCTGCTCTGCTGGGATGGCAGTGAGCATAGAGGTAGCAGGCGACCTGGCTCTCTGCACAGTCCCTTGCTCCCCTGGGGACCCCAGCCTCTCCTCCGTACAGTGAGCACTAAATGAGGTGACCACGTGTGTGGTGGCCTCTGCTGTGCTCAGTCATGTTTGCAAGGACCCTCTGTCCTCAGAGGGAAGCCAGGAGGAATGTGAGCTGTGGATGTAGAGAGCTGGGCTCTCTTGGAACTGCCCCCATCTGTCTGCCTGTCTGTGTCAGGGAACCAGTAGTGCGGGAGGGCTCTGCACCACTGTGGGTGTGCACACCTGGCCTCGGCAGGGAGGGCAGAGGTGAGTGCGTTGGTGGGGAGCTGCCCGGAGGAGCCAGGGTTGCTGCAGAGGTGGATGGGGTGCGGCCCAACCTCAGATGTGCCCAGGGAGGGGAGCTGCAGGGATGCTGAGCCTGGACCACGCTCAGGGGCCGGGACCCTGGTGCAGGGTCTTTCCCTCCCTCGGCCTGGTTCCATCCTGCCCTGTGCCGGCTGGAGAACGTCAGCCACCCGCCGGGCACTGTAGGTGTCATCATCTACCATCCTTCCCAAGAGCACTTACCCTCCCCACGACCCCAGATCCCAGCTGCTGAGTCTCCAAGATCAACCTGCAGCAGGTGGGACCTGTCCTCATGCAGCAGGACACCCCCAGTACCGGTGTTGGGGGAGAGGGTGCTGAGGGCAACAGAGAAAACTCACTTCTCACCCTGCCGGGGCTGAAGCCCTGAACAGCATCCATCCCGCAGACCTGGCAACTCCTTCTGCAGGTGCCCCCAGCTCATAGGGCTGGCTCCTCCCACCCCACCCGCCCTTGGCACTTCAGGAACCCGCAGAAGATGCCAGAGAGGCTGCCTGTTTCAGGGAGGACCCCTCTGCCAACCTTGGCTTTCCTGTTTCAGGGAGGACCCCTCTGCCGACCTTGGCTTTCCAGCCCCCGGAAAGTTCCTTCTATGCAAGAGATTTAAGATGTCCACCCCCTTTCCTTTCCAGAGACATGTTGGGGTGTCTCACACTCAGTGGCAGGGGGACTCCAACTTAGAGGAAATGGAGGTGCCATCGTCAAAGCAGAGTGATAAAAGGCGCTCCCTGGCGGTCCAATGGTTGGACTCGGCACTTTCACTGCTGGGGCCCAGGTTCAATCCCTGATCGGGGAACTAAGATCCCCGCAGCCAAAAAAAAAAAAAAAAAAAAAAAAAAAGCAGAGTAATAAAGAGATGCACCCAGAGACACTGCGGGTTTTTGATCCTCCCCCAGGGCTGGGACCCTCGCTGGGTGGAGGGCGTCTTAGGAGAACGCTGACAGCACCTGATACCAGAGGAAGGACCTGCCTCCTGAGAGTTGGAGGTTGGCTGTCGCCTGGCCGGCAGGATTCCTGGTCTGCATTCCCAGCAGAGTTGCCTGGACAGCTTCACCTTTTGTCTTCACCACGGACAGCCTTGTGCACCGGGGCCCCGGCAGGCCGGCGTGGCCCTCAGATGCACAAGCGACGTGGTGGCTGCCCCTTCCGCCCCCGCCAATGCTGGTCCTGGCTGCCAGGACTAACCCCTGCCTGGATGTGGAGGGAAGGTTGACAGAGGAGGGTGGAGTGTCAGGGACCCCCACCCTCTCCAGCACCCTGGGAGCTACTCACCGAGGCTCCCACGAGGCTGGCAAGTGCTGTGACCAGGAACAGTGACCCAGGTGGCAGCCAGCTCCCCCCTTTTATAGTCCCAGGAGGAAGCGGTCGACCCGACACCCACCCGTCCCTCCCCGCCCGCCTCCCTCACTGGGCGGCGTCAGGAGAGAGTTGTTTTTTTCTTTTCTTTCTTCTATTTTTTTTTTTTTTTTTAACTCTCATCAGCGATGTGATGTGTCCCTTCCTGGGTTACATAATTTCATTTGGGCTGAGTGGCTTTAAAACACATTAGCCTTCCTCCTTCATGCTTTGGGCAATTGCAGTCAGGTGCCACCAGCCTGGGTGCTCGCAGCCGCGTGATGGTTGACACAGAGGGGACCCTGCGGCTGTCTCCCTCCTCCTTTAAGTCCCAGTTTCCAATGCAAGGGTGAAGGAACAAGTCACCCGAGGCCATCACAACTGAATGATATCCTCGTAATCCTTCCCAGGCACCTACGTGGCTTTTCATAGCTGCATTCATTACATGCAAGCCACTATCGTCCTGTTCCGATCACTGAAAAATTATTTTTTCTAGACTTTTCCAGAATTGTCATAATTACTGTTTAAAATAAACAAGTTTATTATTATTATAAAACAAATACATGTATTTCCATTGTAAAATAAATAATAAACAAGTTTATTTTTATTATAAAAGCTATTTATATACATTTGGAAAGAATTTAGCACATACAGAAAGCTAGAAAAAAACCCATCCATCATATCAGGGAATCCAGCCATTTATCACATGTGATATATTTCCTTCTCATGGGCTTTTCACATACTTTCTGGGTAAGTTCATCAGACTCGTGCTTTCCACATACTTTCTGGGTAGATTCATCGGACTCTTTTCATTTAACAACCATGTCCTCAAGTTGTTAAAAAAGCTGTATACTTATGCTATTTGAAATAACTGAACACTGTTCTCCATTTCACTTGGCCCTCAGAACTGAACTCATTCATATACTGAATAATCATAGATTATAGCAAAGGTCATTTAAACGCCGTTGAGCCTCATCTCAAGGAGCCTGTCCTGGGGAGGACACCTCCCGGGTTGCTCTCCTTGGATGTGCGCAGGGGGCCACGCGACCCTTCCTGAGCCTCTGTCAGACTTTGAGGAAAGTTCCAGAGCAGTACCTGGACCCCAGAGGGTCAGTTATGGGCGCTCCTCCTTCCTGTCATGGCTGCCCATTCCTGGTGATGGAGGTTATATGGGTGGTGGGTTCCCAGAAAGTCTGGAGTTGGGGGGCGCTGGTGAGGGGGAGTGTATAAGGAGTGTGGCGGGTGGCTTCTACCCTGGGCTGCAGGCTGAGGCCACTGGGATGGATTCTGTCAGAATGCCCAGGGGAGCTCAGGGTCCGCGGTGGTCAGAGTGGCTCTTGTGAAGAGTGGTGATGGTGGAGAAGCAGACACGTGAGGTGTGGTCCTGTCTCGAGGTGGGTCCTCTCCCTGCAGATGTGCGCACAGCACCTGGGCCTCAGGGGCAGTGGGCACTGTGAGACCACAGCAGCTGGAGGCAGCTTCCTGGGCACCGTCGTGGGAGCCTGCGTGTGTGTGTGTGCGCGTTCGTGTGTCTGTATTGTGTGTGTGAGTGTGCACGTCGCGTGTGTGACTGTGCGTTTGCGAGTGTGCACACATGTGCGAGTGTGCAGCGCGTGCGTCTATGCGTGCGTGTGCAAGTGTGCACAAGCGTGCAGCGAGTGAGTGCATGCGTGTGCGAGTGAGTGTTGCACGCATGTGTGCGCGCGGGTATGAGAGTGTGAGCGTGTGTGCACGCGTGTGCGTGAGAGTGCACATGCATGTGTGTGTGCATGTGGTGTGTGCGTGTGGTGTGTGAGTGTGTATGTGTCCATGAGTGTGTGTGTGGGGGGGAGTAGTGAATCCTTCTCTTTCAGCCAAGCAGCTTCGTCTCAGTGCGGGTTGGTGCTGATAAAAGAAATGTTCACATATTGAGGTCTGGGGGAGTCGTTCTGGCTTATACCTGTGTTAACTTGAATTGTATGTTAAATAGAACATCCTGTTTGTGGCCCATCAAACATACATTGTTTGATAACATACATGATAACATACATCTTATCATTAAAGAAAAGGGCGCACTGACTAGAAGTAAAGAATGTCCACATTAAAAATAAAGATGAAATGCCTCCCTTCCTGGGACGCCGATGCTGGCACTCCTTTGAGGATAAGACTCCCTTCCCAGGGCCAAGGCCATGCTGGCTCGCTGTGTACCTGCTGGTTTTTTTTTTTTTTTTTTTTTTAAAACTTTGAAAGAATGTATCCTTGACTTGTTTAATGTTAATGTTTTTTGTTCTGACAAGATACACAGCTGTTCTGAAAACCATGCTCCTCCAGAGCAGTTCTGAGTTATCTGGGAGGCTGGCTTCCCATCTGTAGCCCTCAGTTTGGCTCAGATAAATCTCTTTCCTATTCCTAGTATAGACCGTCGATTGATTATTTTGGTCGACAGGGTGGCATTGCTTCAGCCCTTGTGCCCACGTCTCTCTGCTCCGCCCTGCTGACAGAGGGGAATGATGTCCCCCGTGGTCTCTGGTGGCAGCCATAAGAGGATCCAGAGTTACTGAGGGGGCACTTTGAGAACTGGAGGTGCTACTCTACTGATCTCGCCAGAAGCCCCCGAGCCCCAGGGGGCACCTGCAAGACGTTACTTACGAGAACACCTGGAGCCACAGTCCGCTGCTCTCTGGGCTGTATCTCTAGCTAGAAATGATTTATGACAGGTGTGGGTGAACAGTACTCCACACAGGGAGGCCTCAGGTCTTTGGGGAGAGATGACAGTCTAGCTCCTGGGACCCCGTGTGGGGTGTCTGTGAGGTGTACATGGGTGGATCCAGTGACCCGCTCCCCACTGGTCCAGCGGAGGGCTTCTCAGCAGGCTCGGTCCATCCCTGACTGGCCAGCACCCGGGACACACATCACTCTGCTCACCCTTGTGTCTAGAACCATGAGCTGTGGCCGCTGCAGGGCTACAGTCAGAATCTGGGCTG